CTCAATTTCAGAACTTGTTAGAAAACCTAGGCAATACCATTTAGGACATAGGCATGGGCAAAGACTTCAAGATGAAAACACCAAAAAAAAAAATTGCAACAAAAGCCAAAGCTGACAAATAGGATCTAACTGAAGAGCTTCTGTGCAGCAAAAGAAACTAGCATCAGAATGAACAGGCAACCTACAGAATGGGAGAAAAATTTTGCAATCTACCCACCTGACAAAGGTCTAATATCCAAAATCTAGAAGAAACTTAAATAAATTTACAAGAAACAAACAAACAAACAAAAAATCAAAAAGTGGGCAAAGAATATGAACAGACACTTCTCAAAAGAAGATATTTATGCAGCCAAGAAACACAGGAAAAAAGCTCATCATCACTGATCATTAGATAAATGCAAATCAAAACCACAATGAGATAGCATCTCACACCAGTCAGAATGGCGATTATTAAAACAACAGATGCGGGCGAGTCCGTGAAGAAATAGGAATGCTTTTACATTGTTGGTGGGAGTATAAATTAGTTCAACTATTGTGGAAGACTGTGTGGCGATTCCTCAAGGATCTAGAACCAGAAATACCATCTGACCCAGCAATCCCATTACTGGGTATATACCCAAAGGATTATAAATCATTCTACTATACACAGGCATATATATGTTTATTGCAGCACTATTTACAACAGCAAAGACTTGGAACCAACCTAAATGTCCATCAATGATAGACTGGATAAAGAAAAAGTGGTACATATATACCATGGAATACTATACAGCCATAAAAAAGAATGAGATCATATCTTTTGCAGGGACATGGATGAAGCTGGAAACCATCATTCTCAGCAAACTAACACAGGAACAGGAAACCAAAGATTGCATGTTCTCACTCATAAGTGGGAGGTGAACAATGAGAACACATGGACACACAGAGGGGAAAAACACGTACTGGGGTCTGTTGGGGGTGGGGGGCGATGGGGAGGGAAAGTATTAGGACAAATACCTAATGCATGAAGGGCTTAAAACCTAGATGACGGGTTGATAGGTGCAGCAAACCACCATGGCACATGTATACCTATGTAACAAACCTGCACGTTCTGCACATGTATCCCAGAACTTGAAGTTAAAAACAACAACAAAAACAACAAAATAAACTCACCTGGGGCCAGAGCACTGTAAATGAGTAGTCAGGGAGGTTAAACAGATGTTTCAGATAAACAGCATGCCCAGTATACCAGACAGAAGATCCTGGGGAATAGTAATCTTTGAGTGGCAGAGAGAAGAGGAGCAGCCCATGAAATAGGCAAAGATCTTAAACTCCAATGCCTTCAGGAGCTATGCATGCACCATCAGCCAGTGAAGCAAGCCTAGGTAGGAGGCAGACATGGCAACTGCATAGGCCTAGAGAATGAGCAATATGCCTAACAGCATTTAGATTCATTAAGAAATACTTTACAGCCACAATAAAGCAAACCACCAAATATACTTTGCAGGCAAAAATAAAACACATATGAGGAGGCAAGCAAAGCCCAAGGACCATCAATATGCAATGCTGAGCTGCAGGAAAAGCAGGAAGTGGGCTGGGAATGAGAAAAAAAAAATCAGTAAAGTGTGGTTTCCTATAAGTTTTTTTAAAAAAAGGTTTTACCTTTTATTTCCATGAACTTAACAAAGAAAACAATATGTTTCACTAGACAGTCACCCAAACATTGTAATACTAATAACAACAACAACAAAAAAAAACCCCACTATTTGTTACAGAACTTGTAAAACCTGAAAATGGCGGTAATGATCAAATGGTTCAAATGTGTAAAGAGAGGAATCGCAAATCCAAGTGGCCCATCCACCGACCAAATGTAGATATCTTCTTGAAGAATTGTGGCCATCTGCTCTGTGCTTGAGTGAATCCAGGGATGGGAAGCTCACCCCCTTGTAAGGCACTCTTTAAGTGTTCAGAAGGTTTTTTCACTTTGACCTGTTATTATGTAGAGCTAATGATATCTGCCACCTTGTAGTCCAATAATCACAGATATACCCTCTGGAGTCACATAGAATGTATTTAATACCTTTCCAACTGCCAGCCCTTCAGATAATTTGGAAACAGTGACTCTGTTACTATCTTCCCTCTACAAGTCTTCCTTTTTCCAGGCAAAACATTCCCACCATCAACTACTCCCCAAATCTGTTTTCAGACACAACCGCCCTTCTTATGAACCTTCTTATTTGTCACTAACCATCTTAAAACAGTGCCCAGAAAGAACACAATGTTCCTAGCCAATTTATACTCTGGGGCTTCTTTAGGCATAATTTTCTACGTCTGCAGCAGTAGAAATACAATTACATTTTATGGAGCTCAGCCTCCTGCTGTTCCTGTTTCCTACCTCCCACCCTCCAAGGCAGTCTGTTTGTTGAATGCCCTGAACAGATGCATAATCTAGAGCGAGTGCTCCCATCAATATAAAGAATGCCATCCCTCATCACTCCATCGCTTCTGATTAAGATCACTTGGTCTAATGTACATTAAGTTCTATACCAATAATGCCTGTGCGGTGCTGCATGCTTTTCATGCCTCTTTCTGAACACTGTGTTATTAGATACTCAGCCTGGAGAAGCATTTTCATACAAAGAGGAAGACAAAACTGAGAATGAATGGTTAAAGACAAAGGGAAAATTGGGAATCTCACTGTTGGAAAGAATGGTAGATGGGAACATCCAATGACCTGGCTTTGAATCTGGTTCTCTACTAACCATTGCTACTTAAAAAAATAGTAATAATAACAATAAGAACAGAAACTGCTATCTATTAACAAATTCTTGGTAAGTACCAACCCCTGAAATAAGTCTTTCAGGCTTCGATATCATATGGTTAGGAGATGCCACTGGGATTTGAACTTACTTCTGCCTGTTTCTAGACTTCAATCTCTACACAGTCTTTTACCACAATCTCCCTTAGTGGATACTGTCTATACTACATATGACTTATACCACTGATTTAAAAAAAAAAGAAAAGAAAGAACTCTTAGAGTAATTACTTCTCCTGAGATGATCCTCCAAAATGTAGAAGTAGAAACATGTGTTTTCTTATCTGTGGGGCCATCAGAGCATGCAGACAAGGGCAAAAGAATAAGAGAGGAGAGCGAGGCCATACACCAACCACAGTGCTGTACATTGTGTCTTGAACTGGGCTGAAATGTAACCATGCAGCTTCTGTTTCAAGCACATTTGGAACATCGACAAGATTTCAAGGTGACTGTTCAGCCTAAGAAAACAGTGTTTTCAAGCACTTTTAATGCTACCTTAGCAGTACTTACTAGTATATAATTCATGTGCTAATTTATTCATTAAAACAGTCTGTATCTGGCAACATTTTATTAACCTTAGTTTACATGACTGAGATTGGTATTTGTATTTTAATTACATCTCTTTATAATTACTCTATAATTCTGATTTTCTTCCAATGTGAACTAAGCCCTTATCAATCCCCAAACTGCATTCCACATCTAATGAAAATGAGTTCAAATTATAGTTTTATAGAATATGGCTTTGGAAAACCCAGAGAGCCTATTCCCAAAGGTGGTCATGCATCAGAGCCTCCTGGGGATTTCCTTATATAATGACTGATTCCTGAGGGCTGTGCAATCTACTCGATCAGAATCTCCAGGGACAGGACCTCCTGAGAATTGAGATCTGCAACTAGTCCACAAATCAGCACTTAGGTACTGGTGACTAGATTATTTCCACTCTACGCACATCCACTACAGCTCTTGGAAAACATAGGAAGCAAAAGATAGTAAGGGTTATCCTAAAGGCAGAATAACCAGCCACTTCACGAAATCCAATGCATCCCAGAAACATTAATTATAAGTTTCATTATTAACTGCTGACCTATTGTTCTTTATTTTCAGGATTTGAGTTGCCATTTTAATGTCAGTACTGCAAAGAAGCCCTATAGACACACACACAAAAAGTTGCATAGATTTTAACTGGTCCCTGGAAACGAGGTAGAGATAATCATGTGGTTTATTTGACAGAGCCACATGATAAACAATCTAGATAAACAATGTGTTTTAAAACGCATTCTCAAAGAGTTAGAACAGGAATGTCAAATAGACAGCAAATATGATATCTCCCTCCTATCTGATGCCCTTGGCAGGCATTGCTAATCAATTACAGCACTTTTCCTTGCATCCACAAACAGCCTCAAAGTCCTTTTAACCAATCACTCCAGGGCACTAGTGCAATCTAATCTGCTCTACCATGTGGGGGACATACTTTCCCCTCTTTGGCTAGAATAAACAGGTAAACTGAAATCACCTTATATTTTATAACAGCCTGATCCATGACAGACTCTACACTCCACACGGTGGAAATGGGCATCTGAAGGTTCTCATGTAGACAGGGCTTTAGGTGAGGATCACCTGGCTCTTGCCGATTCATGTTTGTAGTGGTTTTACACTTGTATCTTTGAATGGGAGTACTTAGAAATAAATTAACTTCTTTAATATTTATGATATGTGAGTTACACTTATTCAAACCAACCTAGTTTTTCCTCACAATAATTCAAAGTTTCGCTTTGAATAAATGCTGTTGGGAACGACAAGCTGAGTTCCAAAATGTTTTAAAAATTAAGTGTAGCATTTGACTAAAACAATCATCTATCAATCTGCTTGATTTTCACCGGTAGCACCATAGGTTTTCTTCTGTGGAGATTCTGGGCTGTATCTCCATGCAAATATTTACTGTCCTGGTAAATGACAGGATAGGAATCACAAGGACACTTGTTTTCTGCTGGTTTTCATTTGAAAAAGAAAATCATTATAATTAATTAGTCTTGGGTTCCCATGATGGCCATTCTTGACTCCTTGGCTTCTACTGCCACTTTCCAAGTCAGACTAAATAGAATTCCATTTCAGACCATATCTAGGGTAATACTTGATTCATTAGGTTGATGTCATCCCAACGACAGTCCCCGTGATCAAACAATAAGATCAGAGAGAGCAGACCCACCTTCTCATAGATGCTGTCATTCCTGTGAAAGTCTCCAGCCTTCCTGGGAAGAACATGGATGTGAACGTGCTGAAAATGTACAAGAAAGAAAAAAGTAAATGTGATTATCTCCCCATGTATTTTTAGACTTGACAGTGATGATCTCATGAAGCCCAATTACTCCATGATGGTTCCTGCTGGGTTATTTTTCAGAGGAAGTTGATATCCACCTTCGGTAACTATACCTGAATTCTGCCGAGGAGAGAGCACACTAAGCAAGAGAGAACAACTTGGTGGTATATATACAAGAGTTGGAGTGAAATGCTAGAGTGTTTCAGAGGCTCTATGGAATTATTCATGGTTGTCAGTCTTGGTTGTAGTTAGCCAGTGCTTTGAAATGACAGCACATCTTCAAAGGTGACCATCATGACTCTGAATCTGACAAGAAATAAGAATTGGCTAACAGAGAACTGCATAAGTAAAGAGCGAATAAATGAGAGTAGCAAGTAGTATAGGCAGAATTACAGACTCAGAGCTTTGAGAAATAATCGTATAATAGTAATACAAACAGTTCTCATTTATTAAGCATTTACTTCCTATGATAAGGAAAGCTGTGTGTTTGGCATTCTGTCATTTAGTACTCTTAAAAATCCTGTGAGGCAGCCAGGCGTGGTGGCTCACGCCTGTAATCCCAGCACCTCGGGAGACTAAGGGGGGCAGATCACGAGGTCAGGAGATCAAGACCATCCTGGCCAACACGGTGAAACCCCGTCTCTACTGAAAATACAAAATCGAAAAATTAGGAGGCTGAGGCAGGAGAATGGCGTGAACCCAGGAGGCAGAGTTTGCAGTGAGACGAGATCACGCCACTGCATTCCAGCCTGGGTGACAGAGTGAGACTTCTTCTCAAAAAAAAAAAAAAAAAAAAAAAAAAAATCCTGTGAGGCAAGGTCTACTATGATCTCCATTTCACAGAAGAGGAAATCAATGTTCGGTGAGGCCAGAGCACCACAGGAAGTAAAAGTCAGCACCGGAAATGAGGCCTCTTGGCTTTTTCTCCCACGTGTTTCATTAGCACATGCACTGATTCTGCGAATTTAATCTTTTAAATAGCCCATTTCCCTAGTCTACTAAAGCACCCAGGTAATATACATAGCAATGCTATTATGCAATGATCGTGAATCAAGGCTCAGAGCATATCTAATTCAATATATTCTTTAAGGCTAAACTGCCATTTGAAAGTTTTACTTTCCAAATAGCCTCTATTGTACCTTGGGTGAAGTTAAACCTCACTTCTGCCCTTGAGCTGTGTTCCACTTTTATTGCAAACCATGGCGAGGAATGTGAAAATGAAGAGCTTAAATAGAGGCAGACAGTGGGTCAAACCTCATCCCTGATCACCCACCCCTTCTTGATTACTGCGATCGGGCTCCAAGGCTCCAAAAGGCCTCCAGAGAACATAAGATTAAGTGTCCCTGTGGTTTTGCAGTACAAGGAGGGGGAAAATGATACCCTATTAAAGCTGAGGCAGGGTACAACGTGGTCCAAGGTGAATGAAGCAGAGGGGAGCTTCAAAGCAGCCCCTGAGCACAGTTCCCAAAGAGTGACATGCTTTTGCCAGAATATTCACCAGTCAATGATAAAGACAGTCACGGATCTCTCAGCAACTGGGCCAAGTGTGTATTTAAGTCACAAAGATTATGTGAGCATGGAGAGAGAAAGTGAAAGAACAAACAAGGAAAAAATAAATCACAAACTACCCATGAAACCAAATTCTTAGGAGAAAGCCAGGCAGGTGGGCCTGGGCTGAAATCTATTGAAATCTCTAGATGGGCTGACTTAAAAGCAAAACCAGGAAAATAACATAGCACAAGGATACAGACCACCCTTAGAAGGAGCCTTCACTCACTCTTTAATTCCAGAATCTCCTGCTATCCTTTCTTCTTTTCCTCTTTTTCTCCTTTCTTCTTTCTTTCCCCCTCCTCCTTTCTTCCCCTCTTCCTCCCTCCCATCTATCCATCTTTCATCACCTCCCTTGTACATTCTAGGAAGTTCCAGACCAGTGTCTTGCAGTTAAACATCCTAATACAAATCCTGGACCTACCACAAACTAACTGTGTGACCTTGCCTCACAAAGTCTATGTGTCAGTATCCTTATCTATATGGGGATTATAATGGTTGCTACCTCACAGGGTTAAGAGGATTAAGTCTGCTAACCATGTGCTGAGCATTCAGCTTTGCACGTAGTTACTACTCATTACCTAGAAATGTAAAAGAATTACTTTTATTATTTAAAAAAACACATTTAAACCTGAAGACCAAGTAGACATCACATTCAGGGATTGATTTCTGTATCAGCAAAAAAAAAAAAAAAAAAAAAAAGGAAAGATATTAAGAAGCTCCTTGAATGAGGGCATTGCTTAAGCATCTCTTTTGCAAAAGCTGGTTTCTGTTGCTTTGACTAGCCATTCTCAATCTTCCACCTGTACTTGGGGCTTGTTAAAATGCAGACTACAGGGCCCTGAAAGTCCACATTTCTAACAAGCTCCCAGCTGATGCTGGTCTAATGCCACACTTCGAGACCCACTGGCTTACAATATTCATCTGGTTTCTTACCTCGCTTCTGCCAGTGTGGGCACTGAGGTCACTCGCTGTTTTGCCTGCCCTACTGCATTATGTGTAGACTCTTTGTCTCATTTCTTGTTTTTTCCTCTTTTCCTTCCTTCTGTCTTTTCTTTCTCTTCTTTTCCTCCTTCGTTTTTATTTTTTTCCCTTCCCTTCCTTCTTTTCTTTCTCCCCACAGAATCTCACTCTGTCACCCAGGATGGAGTACAGTGATACAATCACAGCTCACTGCAGCCTTCAACTCCCAGGCTCAAGAGATCCTCCGGCATCAGCCTCC